ATCAGTAGTAATTATGAGCACAGATGAAAGTTTGTGTACCTGAGATTGATTGAGAGAGATGAATTCAATGTTCTTTTTGATGTTTTCAACCTCTAGTGCACAGAAATGATCACAGCAGCTTGACCATTATTAAAATTGTCTATGATTGAACTCAGATCCTTCTTCACTAGCATTAATCAAAAAGTACCTGCATTCAAATCTTCTCTACCCGAGACAAGGACTTGTTCTTAGGCTATTAAGTGCAGAGAGAGAATTAAGGAAATGTTATTAGGAAATAGATGAGAAGAGTTCTTCAGCAGTAATAAAAATGAAAATTTCTTTTTTTATCTTTCCTTCACAAACTGTTACTCCTTAAAGTTGTAACATTGAGTTGTGACAGATTTAATTTAATATCCAATTAGAAAACATACAATAATTGCAATTAATTAATTTTATTAAGAATGCTGGTATGTCAAAGGAACAATGTGGAGAAACTGAGGTTCCAATGTCATTTCAGCTATATTTCCTGTTCATCTTATTAGACTGTTGAAGAGACTATGAAGCAAATGCATGGGAACTTGGAAGTAATTGAGTGCTGAAAAGGCACCACATAGCTAAATACAATCCCACTTGTTATTAATAGAGATGATCCTTTTCTTCTAATACAGGCTTTCTTAGCCTTTAAAATATGCACTACTGGGAGACAGGGATTTTGAATTAATATAGCACCTCAGCCAACTGCAATTTCCTTCAATGAACTGATACACATGAGGAAAAGTAGGTGAGACTTCTCCCTGTCTTGGGGATATCTGAAATAGTATTAATTTTCCCGATTCTAATCTGCAGATGTTTGAGCTGGCTTTAGAAAAGGCCAAGAAAGAAAGAAAAATTGCTGATGCATGTTAGATCATTGAGAAAGTCAAAAATTTAGAAAAAGAACTCAATACATGTTTCATGGATTCTAGAATTGCAGGGCCATTGACTGGGTCAACAGTATCAAGCTGTGGGATGTGCTTAAGAAACTGAGAATCCCAGAACATTTCATTGTATTCATGCAAAATTTATACTCAGGTAAGAAAGCTACCCTTTAGACAGAGAATGGTGAAACAGACTGCAGGTTGATAAAAGAGTGAGACAAAGCTGCATACTCCCCCCTTGCTTAGTCAACATATATGATGAATATGTATTAAGGGAAACTGAATTGGAAGAAGATGAGTAGGGTTTTAAAATTGAAGGAAAAACATTAATAACTTGAAAGAGTATTGACATTTTTCAAGTTTGGTGTTCTGGAAATACCATGGATAGCCAAGAAAAAAATGGATTAATGACCTATTTAGTCCAGAGTTTCATTAGATGCACAAATGACCAGGGTCAAATTACCATACTTTGGAAATATTGTGCAAAGATCTAGCTCTTAGAAAAGGCAGAAGGAAAAAAAAGAGGACAAACAACAGCAAGAGGGATGGATTTAGTTTCAGTGGTGATGGGTGCTGGAAGACCTCAAGCACAAGGTTATGACAGAACATCATGGGGGAAAAAATCTATCGACGTGGTCATTAAGAGTTAACACTGATTTGATGGCACACAATCAATTTAGGCAAATGCCATTTTTCAGTATAAATTAATCTGTGATTGATTTTCAGTATTATCAAAGATATTGTAGGTTTACTTTCTGTTCTTATACAACACATTGTTCTATCTACCCCTTTGTTGGGAAAAGTTTAATTTTTCAAAAAAAAAAAAAGAGAGAGAGAGAGAGAGAGAAAATGTACACTTTAATAGTCATTTAAAAATAAAATGTCTGAGTATACCTTTCTAAACAACTTTGGTTATTTATTTAGTGTTAAGAGCATACTTTTTTAAAAAAGAATTATTTTCCTTAAACATATACAATGGCAAAATAACAATTATTGAACTTTTTGGGTGGGAGGGACTAAACTCTAAATATGAAGTTGGAAGGAAGGAAGGAAGGAAGGAAGGAAGGAAGGAAGGAAGGAAGGAAGGAAGTCTATACCATGAGTATACTTCACTGGTCTCTTTCAAGAGTGAAAAATGAAAACTGGGGAAATATCAAATAATACTATATTGATCCTACATCTAAAATGTAAACAAGTGGGGCATTCTAACTTGAATGTTTAGTGGAAAAACAGTCCTTTAAAAAAAAAAAATCTAAACAGCTATAACTCTACTTAAAAAGTGCTGAAAGGTCCTAATTTTTGTAAAATACTGTCTCCAGCATAGTATAGACATAGCCTGATCTTTCTTAAATAGTGCCTTATAATCCTTAATTGTTAGAAAGCAAACATTGTAAATAAAATATTAATAAAAATAAATGTTTGAAATAATTTTTTTTTCCTGCCTCCTATAGTAATATCCCATATTCAGCTATAATTCACTGCAAGAAAATTAAATCAATTTTTTTGCTGGCAGTTGTACACATCCCAAGTGTGCTCAAGACAACAAAGGACATTGCAACTTGCTCACATTTGTTCTGCCACGAGTCTGGTTTTGTTTCACTACATTTTACCTGACATAAACTCTGAACTTGCATTCCTCTAACTGCACATTTCTATTAAGTGCTGCGATCCCAAGTAAAGAAAAATCGGCAGGAAAAGTGGGAGGAGGCCGGCAGTTGGGGAGGTGCTCTGGAGATCTGGGTCGAGTTGCATAGTCCTCGCTGGCTCAGCTGATCAGCGGGCAGCAATTAAGGGGCTGAACCTCCAGGTGGTGACCTGGGAAGGGAAGGGCTGCCTCCTGTGCTGGCCATGCCCACCCCTTTACTAGGGCTTATTTTTGGGCATAAATATACACTAGGGTGTATATTTATGCCCACCCCAAAAATCAGGTTTGGCCTTATTTTCGGGACATGTCCTATTTTCGGGGAAACACAGTATATTTTATATAATATATTATTACTGTTTATGACTAGTATAGTAATAGTATTTATTACTAGCATTTATGACTGGCTTTCATTATTGTTAGAGAGCCCAACTTTTAAAATTAAAATATCATTATGTCTCTGAACAGTACATCTGTTTACTAGAGCTTTAATGACACTGAATTGTAGAATGGTTTTCCATATTCACTGATTGTGGCAATCTTCCAGAGTGGTGTGGTAGCCTAGTGGTATAGATGCTCACTTCCCATTCAGAAGGTTGAGAGTTCAATCCTAGGCTGCAGCAGATATTTCTCTCTCAGGGCACAAAGAGAAAATATTTGCTGCCAACTCCACACCTGGGATCCAGCTGTTAAACACTCAGCTCTGTTCAGTCACTCTGATTTTACACGAATTAAGGGATTAAAGCGATGTAAAAAGAAACTGATTGTGGCAATTTTCAGAAAATAATATTATGTTTCTATCCTGCTATTAAAATACAAAGTTGACAGTAATGTTTGTGATCTGGAGGGCTTATGGAAAATGATGAAAATTAAAAGCTGAAAGAGGATTAGTTAACTAAAAAGAATTTACAATTCAGTTTCAATGTTTTATCATTTTTTTGGAGGTTAAAAAGTGTTAGTAAGTTAAATTACTTTTAAAATTAACTTGAAAATACTTTTAAAAAACTGTTTAACTTTTGGGTGGACTACAAGCACAATTAATAAATAAGTCTAAAATGGACTCTCTTTAAAAATAGTGTGTCGAAAATTGTAAACAGTGCAATTCTATGAACTTTAACTCAGAGGCAATTTCTACCAAGTTCACGAGGATATACCCCTACAATGCACAGCAGCTTTCCTCAGTCTGTGGCCCTGTAGATGCACTGCAATTCAATTTTAGAATTTCCAGTCTGTACAGCTTGTGAAACTGAAGTCCAAGACATCTAGATAGGAGCATCCATAGCAATCGCCAGTGACTTTTCCTTTCATTGCTCTTTTAATAGTTTGCTCCCATTTCAATATTGCCATTGCTGACTTTAGTAAAACTTTATAATTAATAACTAAGAAACAAATAAAATAGAAATTCATTTTACTTGTTTGAACAGTTCTTCAATAAAAACTTTCAGAGCACTGCAACAGAAAACAAATATTTAAATAACCCACAAGGTCTGAATGGCACATGGGTTTTTCTTTGTTGCAACTATCATGTTTGAATATTTTTGAAAACATTATATAGGAGCAAGAGACAAGCAGAGAACAGAAGTCTTTGTGCCTACACTTAGTTTTTGCAACCAAAGGCAGAGGTAACTCAACTCTGACAGTACATTTCTAAATGACACCTGTGATTCTCCTGAATGTTTCATGAATTTGATACGGTCAAAGGAACAACTCCAGAAGAGCATAGGATGTATTAAATGAATTTGTAGAAAGAGGTCTGGTAATGAAATATATGTTAGCAAACATGTTTTATCTCAAACTGCAAGAATGTGTCTTATATATGCTATTCTTAGATAAAGAAAAAACAAACTCTATAGTTTTCCTGAAAAAAAAAATGTACCAAGACAATATATTTAAGATATGTAAGAGTCCAAGAGTCCAAGGTAAAAGATAAATGAAATCAAACGGCCCAGTAGGCAATTCACACTTTGTATTCTCTCAATCTGAAAGAACTTTGGCAAACTTCCCCCCCCCCTTTTTTTTTTCTGGCAACATTCCTGCAGTTTTCTGGCAAGGTTTCAGAAACCGTTTGCCCTTGCTTTCACCCTAGGGTCGAAAGAGGGTGCCTGACCTAGGTCACTCCAGCTCGCTTTATGCCCAAAGTGGGACTAGAGCTCGCGGTTCAATTAACCACTATACCAGACTGTCTCTGTACCTCGGCAATCCAGCAGAAGAAAATCCTGTCCCTGCGATCTGGTCCTGAAATCTATCCTCCGTTGTCATCCTGACCAGAATTTAAAAGCAAAACAACACAACATATAACGAAACAACACGAGCGAGCGAAGTTCCCAATCAGGCGAGCGCCCGAGTCGCAGATCTGCTCGCCTGAGCCCCCCGTCCAACTTGACGGAGAACTTTGCCGCCTGTTGAGACGGGGAGAGAGAGGGCGTCGGGGTCAGCAGAAGGTGCCGCGGAAGCTCACTGACCTGAGATGCCTCCCCCAACCACGATCACGTCGTAGCTCATAGCTGCGCTATCGGCGGGGGCGACTGCCGTGTCTTCCATGCCTCTGGGCTAACTTTGCCGTCAGTTTTGGGCGTCAGACGGCGAAGGTGCTATTTTCTCACTGGCCAGCTGGGCGGTGCAGCAGCACATTTCCCAGCTGGGTCTCCTGCTGAGACGCCCCGCCTTGCCCTGCCAATCATCTCCGTTAGAGATTAGGAAGCTGGCTGTGGAGACAAATCGGGCGAGGCAAGGGCTGGAACCGGAGGAGAAGTGCGCAGGTCGGAAAGGGCGGGTTGCGTACAGTCGAGAGCCGGGAGGAGAAGAAAGCGATGATATCCAGATTCATCGTGGCGAGAGGCAGCCCTGCTTCCTGCTCGCGTTGGCCAGGTGATGGCAGGTCACCTGGGAGAACACAATGCGTGGGAATTCATTATTCCATCTTGAATCTTCCGAGATCACCTCCGCCGAATGGGTTGATGAAATGGATCAAGGCATTGGGGATTGCTGGATAGCTGCAAAAACCAGACAAATCCCAGGATAATTCAGCAACGAACTATTAACTTTATGTGGAAGCTAAATTTTGGTCCCAGGTTTTTTATGTATATGGCAGGGGTCTGCAACCTTAAACACTCAAAGAGCCATTTGGACCCGTTTCCCACAGAAAACAAAACACTGGGAGCCAGTAATTTTTAATAACCGGTGTGACTGGGTGGATGTGGCCAACTTGAGGTCACTCACTCCCACCCTGTCTTATGAACACACCCAGCCACACCCAGCCGGTCATTAGGGCAGAGAACTGCTTGTTAAATTATTGGCCCCGCCCGGCACCGCCTCACCCCACCCCTCCCAGCCAACTCTTGCCACACCTGGCCTCAGGTGTGTTGTTCACCTCTGTCTTTCTGTCTCTCTCTTTCTGTGTCTCTCTCTGTGTGTGTGTCTCTCTCATCAGGGGGAGTGGGCCAGGGTTGCATTGTGGCTCCGCATCATAATGGGCTTCAGGAGGAGGTGGGGACCCCATCTCCCCCATTGTGAAGTGCACTAAATTTCACTGTGAGGTACTGTGAGAGCAGCAGGCAGGCCATGGAGGCAGCAACAGCTCTGAGCCTGAAGCAGCGGGAGGCAAGGGCTGCCTTGAGCGCAAATGTACCGCAAAGAAGCCCAAATGCTGTTGCCGCGCAAAGGCAAGTACAGGGGCGCTTCGCTTCAGATTTGGAATATGGAGTGAGTCTCCATCCTCCGCTGTCGCCCTTACCTTTTCAGGCCAGGTGAGGAATGACTGGGAGGGGAGGGGCGGGGCCAGCCAGTGGTGGGATCAGCCAACAGGGAGCCACAGCAGAGGACCGAAAGAGCCACACGTGGCTCCAGAGCTGCAGGTTGCCAACCCTTGGTTTATGGTTTTAATAGGTATATGTATTATGTGTTATTATTGATGATCTAATTATTGGTTGGGAGCCACCCAAAGTTCAGTATAAGACAGGCAGCTATATAAAGATTTTAAATAAAATAAAATAATAAATAAAATAACTGGTTATTATTATCATAATGACCACTTCATGAGGCAGCTTCTTCTGGGCATATTTTGGTGTGGCAGCTCCTACTGCGGAATGCCTGAAATCCAATTGAAGTGGGACTCAAAGAATCAGGGGGAAATTCATCTTTGAAGTGGAAAATTTTTCATTTGCTTGAACTAAAAATAAAAATATTAATACATTTTAACCAGCTAATCAAGGGTTTTAAAAAATAATTTTTAGTAGAGAAAAGGAAGGTAATTAAAGATAGTTGTTTTAATTTCCATAAGAATTGACTTCAATCAAAACTGCATGGTATTTGAAAGCAGCTAGAGCATCAGTTGCTGACTTGAATGTAATGGTTCTTGGCATGTGGCATTTAAAAAGATGAACTGTATTTGATTATCACTAAATTACAGCAGCAGCTCTATATTTCTGGTTTATCGAAGTTCCTGATAATTATTCCTTCAGGCTGTCCTCTGATAAGCGCCTAGGCCAGCAGGAACTGTTTGCAAAACTGCTGTGCTTCCATTTGGTTAAGCTTGGTTACTGCTGGCCTTTTGCTTCAGCAAGAAGGCAGAATAGAATTCAAATGAAATGAAAAAAATAAGCACCCAAAGAGCTGTTCACATTTCCCCTCGAAGGTAGGACCTTTGGCCATATGATTCAGAAACTTTCCAGATTAAGAAGACTACTATGTGGTGACCTATCAGTAAGACTGGACTGCATGTTACTGTTTGTCCTGATAAGTTTTGAAAACTCTGCATATCATCCTTGCTTGGTATTCAGTGTTTTGTTATCATGCACCAGTTCCTGGAGTAAAGAGACAGAGATAATCACGATGACTGGCTCAGAGAACTGGATATTTTAAATAATAGCTGTCCCATAGTTCAAGTATCCATCTGGGCCTCTGATGGAGGCTAACTACCTAAGAGCAGTTTTCAAGATCATGATCAAAGTCTGCTTGGAAAAGTGCAGTCAACAGATCTGTCATCCTAAGAAATGCCAGTTTTATATATGGAGTTTTCTTAGGTATACTATAGTTCTGGATTATACTGACTTGTGCCAAGCAAAATTAAATTATTGAAGCATTTTTTTTCTTTGAGTTACTGGCTTGATTGTACTATGTTGGTTCCATCAACATACTTGATTTGATCTTAATGTTATGTATATTTAACAACTTTTGTAACCAAGAAGGGGAAGTCAGATACAAGTTGTACCATTGTAGGATATTCTTTAATTAATGAAAGCACAGTGACTATAGGGCTCATCATAGTTCTATAAAGGACATTAACTCATCAAACACAAAGATTTTCTTTAAGACCTTTTCTTCAAGGCAATTGATGTGATGTCTGTATGCACAGTTCTAATTATTCATTTCACCCCTTGTTTTTAGAAAGTTTTCACTGTTAATATTATCCTTCATTGCTCCTCCTTTTGTACCAAAGAAATCAAGGTTTTACTAAAGACTGCTGAACAACACTTACAGTATGCATTTGGATTTTTTTTCTTTATTTATAACTAGGATGATTATAGGAGCAACCAATAGCAATTTGTTAAAATAAAATAAAGGAGATCCATTTGCCAGACCTATACTTGAATACTGTTCACCCGCCTGGAATCCTCACTGTATTTCAGACATCAATATATTAGAGAAAGTCCAGAGATATTTTACTTGAAGAGTACTCAAATCTTCTGCTCGAAATAACATTCCGTATACCATCAGGCTTGAAATTTTAGATCTGGATAGCCTCGAACTATGCCGTCTATGTTCTGACCTATGCTTAGTTCATAAGATTATTTACCAAAAAGTCCTATCTGTAAATGAGTACTTTAATTTCAACCGTAATAACACAAGGGCTATCAATAGATTCAAACTCAATGTAATTCGCTCTAATCTTGATTGTAGGAAATACGACTTCTGCAATAGTAAATGTCTGGAACACTCTTACCTGATCCTGTTGTTAGTTTCGCTAATCCCCATACCTTTTACCTTAAAGTGTCTACCGTGGACCTTTCATGTTTCTTAAGAAGTCCCTAAGGGGGTATGCATAAGCCCACCAGCGTGCCTACTGTCCCTGTCCTACTGTCCCCATTTAGCCCACACCCAGATAATTAGAGATTAACACCAGACAAGAATCAAGAAGAAAAGGGCACCGGGGTGGGGTGTGTCGTGCACGCCTTGTATTATAGTCATCACTGCTATAGATGCATTAATACACCATTTTCTAGGCTATTTAGCAATTCATTTCTGTTTTTCTAACCCTGTAACAATTAGTAACTTCAATTGAGTTAAAAGAGCCATAGTTGTTCTTGCCACTTTCTTGGATCTTTGGATTTCATTAAACACTGCTGGAATTGGTTAGATGCCAATGCTTGTCTTATATTTGAAATCTAAAGCTAGTTTAAAATAGAGTACAGGACAAAGAGACCCAGTCATGTTTCTGCCCTTTGTGCAAACTGAACTGGGATGCAAGATTAGAAGCAAAGAACAATGTTTCTTTCCCCCTAGATTAGATTAGATAGATATTCCAAAATAGTTACATACTGTGGAAGCTGGATGTCAGCCTAGTGGCAGGCTTTGGAGGGCCATATTAATTTTTTCCTACTTTGGTTGCAAGCCATTTCTATTGAGACCTTTGCGAATTGCGCTAAAGAGACACTTAAAAGAGCCATAGTTATTCTTGCCACGCTTTGGATTTCATTAAACACTGCTGGAATTGGTTTAGTTGCCAATGCCTGTTTCAGGTTTGAAATCTAAAGCTAGTTTAAAGTAGAGTGCAGGACAAGGAACCCCAGTCATGTTTTTGCCCTACAAAATATAAAGTTCCAGGACATTTCACAAGCTTCATATATGCAGTAAAAGATTATCTGTTCTAAAAGAAGTATGTCATGTGACAGTGGAGGAAGGAAGGGGACTGTTGAAAAAATCTAGTTCAAAAGTCTTTTGAATGCACAAACTGATTGTGTACTTCTTTGGATCCTAGCCAATAAAATTGCTGGTCATGCTAATGACTCAAACTGCTATCATACAACAGGCAATGGTACAATGCCAACTTGAAAGGCAAATCCTATCTTGCCTTAATTCAAAACTGGCACACTGAACATTCAGGGAAGGAAAACAGACAAAGATCAAACAATCTGTTATAAGAAAGAAATGCAAAGTTAGGCTGAAGCTGCAAATTGATACTGCAAATTTGGACATACTTTTTAAAAATAATTATTTGTGTTTGCATGCACACAATTAGTATGCAGAAAAAGGCACCATTTTTAAAAGAGCTTCATTTTTATTGTGTTTTGCACTCCTCATATACAATCAATATTTTAGGCCATTTAAGTGCATCTATGAAGTTCCTTATTCTATTCAACAAAACATTTATGCAATGCTATTTCAGAACAAACAGACTGTACAAAAGTATAATATATTCAAGAGCATTATAAGAATAGCAATAGGAACCTAAGTTAGAAACATAGGGTCTTTGTACAATCATAACCTGATGATAGATATAAAATTGCAGACCAGGAGCACTATTCAGGTGACCCTGAGGACACCGATAAACCTCCAAGTGCTTCAACAACCCTCTGTAGGAAAATTCTAATAAAAAATGAAGACAAACCACAAGCAATAAATCTTACTTTAAGGTCAGAGGTTTATTGTTTCTAATAATTTGGAACAAAGACAGAAGCAAAAGATATAATAGATATAATAATAGTGCACTTACATTAACAAGCTATTGCAATGGGGTCAGTGGCGGGTTCCTCCCGATTCGGCCGAACCGGTAGCGGTGACGATATGACATCACCGAACTGGTTCTGCCCCCCCGCCCCTGCGTTATTCTTACCTTTTATTTGGCCCCACCCCCAATCTATTGCTGCCTCCTGAGTCCCAGCTGATGGCTAGAGGGAAAAAAACTGTT